GCGAGGCTGGTCCGCGCCTCAAATCCCCCTGGGTCGGCCCTTTCCCCGTCGCGCCCTTGACCTGCTCCGCTCTTCTGAGGGCCACACGTGCCCACAGGAAACCAACATACACGGTACACACGACTCAACCTCGAGCGCCCTCCCGGCCACTGCGGACACACCCATACGATGCTCGGCGACCCCTGTGCCCCCCAAGAAGTCCCCCGCTCCTCAGCGCCTCAACCAAAGTCACTCCCTCCTCCCCATCCCTCCCCACAAAGGCTGTGTTCACACAGATCCCTCGAGATGCCGCCTCGTGGACACGGACCTCCCTGTGGTTCTCATGAAGACTGCGTGGAAGCCTTCAGCACCCCGGGGTGCCTCAGGCCAGGACCCCGCCCCACTCTGGGCACTCTAATTGCTCTCCTCTAGCCTGCAGGAGTTCCAGGTTGGGGAGTTGGGGAATCAGGAGTGGCCTCCCCAGGGCAGAGACCAGTAAAGCCTTGCTACGCCCCACCCCCCCAGCTGCCCCACCCCAGGTCTCTGGGATGGTAAGAGCAGGTGGGTCCCCTAAGCCCGTGTGGCTGGTGAAGAGCAAACTCCGTGAAGGGAGCGCCCGCACACTTCACAGCACTTTCATTTTCGGTGCTTGCTCTCAGGCTAGTCTCCCTCTGCGGGGTCAGAATTCTTTCCATTTCCCAGCTGAGGAAACAGGTTGAAACTGAGGCTCAGAGGGTGAAATAAGTTGTCCAATGTCATACAGTCAACAAATGGCAAAGCTGGGCCTAACCCAGGCCTCCCAAGCACATAGCACAAACTCCCGCACCCCCGGCTTCCGGGGTTCCCACAGGGCTCACCCGCTTCTCGTCCCCTCCATCAGACAGCAAGACAGCAATGCTGCCCTCATCCCACCTCGGGCCTCTCCCGAAGCTTTGCCTGTGCTGAGCAAGTCCAGGTGTCAGCGGAGCCCCAGCCCCATCCATGTTTTCCCATAAATGCTTCCTGTGTGAATCACTGTGGGCAGAGGAGGGGCTGATCCTAGAACTTCAGCATGAGGAGGGTGCTCAGAGGGGCCCCCCCCGCACCCACACTGTATGGTACAAACTGTGGCCCAGGGACCAATGAGTCACCTATCCCAGAGTGCATGCCCCTTACACTCCACCCTTGGTGGCGGAACCAAGCACCTGCCCCCTGAGAAAGAGGTTCCGCACCATGGGGTGAGGGTGGGACACAGCTGCCCGCCAGTTAACTCAGTCTGACTCAGTGCGGGGTGGCATTATCACGCCCACTCAGAGGCAGGAACCTGCACCACAGCATGAAGGAGGCAGCGGATGGGGTCGCCAAGGCCCAGCGGAGGAGCCAAGGACCCAGGAGAGTCCCAGCTAAGGTATGCGAGAGCCTCGTGAGCAGACACTGTCCAGTTCGAATCAACCAGCGTTTCCTGCGCACTTACTATGTGCCAGACATTACCCTTGTCCTAGGGAGGCAGAGTCATGACCAACAAACTCCTTGACCCTGAGATCGAAATCGAGGGTGTGGCGACCTTTGGCTCCCAGAGCCGCCATCCCTGAGGCTGAGACCCGCGTGACCTGGCAGGTCCCTCCCACCGTCACCCTTACCTCGTCAAGCCCTTGGTGTTTTTCTTGCCCCTTTAGAATCATCTCCTGATTCTGCTCCCTTCACCTTTACTGTCACCTCTCCGGGTAGAGCTGGTGGCATCCATGGCCAGGACAACAGATACCTCCTGAGCTCTCCCCAGGGCCATACGGGTCAT